TCTTGGTGATCTCAATGGTGAAACTAAGAACAAACGTGTAAATAAATCTGCTGTCGGGGTCCAGCCTCGATGAGTTCATATGTCCAGGGTACGGGCATGTGGGTTAGAACAATTAGATAGGACACACAGAGATACAAAAGAAATACAAAGACATAGGATAGTACCAGGAGGGCAACTCAGTGAATACTGAATACTAAATCCACCCGCATTAATTTTCCATGCATGTATACACCCCAGTCCAAAAAGGGGGGAAGAAGGCAAAAGACGGCTGTAACATGACACAGAGGACAACAGAACAGTCACCTGCTTCAATACTGAGACATCAAGCCACTATTGCCCGAGTTTAGCATTCTGACGTTTGGGGCAGGATGTGCAGCAAATACACCTTAAATCAAGTACCTGTAGAAAGTCACTCCCTGGGTCAAACCTCCTGTTTTAAAATGAAGGGACAGGAATAGGCTTGAATTCTCTGACCTTTGGTCAGGGTGGAGCAGCTCCACCTCTGTGGGCCATCCTAATGTCCAAACACCAAGTAACGACACACTAGGTCAGCATACCTTGTTTGTAGCCATATCTGTTGTCAACAACTTTGAAAGGGTAAAAAAAAGCTCCAACTCTGACCTTTAGTCAAGGTGGAACAGGACTCACATCTCTGAGCCCAATGTGTGGCTAAGACAGATGGCACCCGGAAGTCGGGCACCAACAGACACCCCTCAAAGTAGAATACATGACAGATGGCACCCAGACATGTGGCCAGTGGTACAGAAGGGCATGTGATGGGCACCACAGGTAAATAAGACCCTTCAGGTGTAAAAGCCAAAAGTGAGTGCTCGAATAGATACAGATAGTTAATATGGAAAGATAGTGTAAAGGATTTGTAAACAAGACATTTATAGAAAAGGTACAAGGAAAGAACAGACAACTGTCTATACATTTTCTTGGGTATATTTTGATAGCCAGAGGATCTGGGGTGGAGCAGAAACAAATGCAGAGATTTTTAGAGTTTGTAGACAGTGTAAATATTCTGTTCCCTCCCCCCTGCTGGCAGCTTAGCCACCACCACCACCACACTGCTCCAGGACCTGTGGATGCTGTGGCCTTGGAGACACTGCCACTGCCATTGCTGAGCAGGGAGAGTGAAGGGAGCATGGGGTGCACGGCCTGGCATGGCCAATGCCGTCAAAACTGTGGCTGCCCACGTGCATGCATTATAGCCATCTGAGTCTGGCCCGCGAGGTGCCACCCAGTCTGGAAAGGCAGAAGACAGAAAAGTTTGGAGGGCTTAGCCTCCAACAGCTGACACCCACAGCCAGTTGCCAGGAAATGGCTAGAGGCAGCATGGCCTGCAAACCCAACAAGCCTATAGGAGCAGAGAGCTCAGTTGAGCCCCGCCCTGCTCCCAGCCTCAGTTGCAAGCTAAGATCCCTGGTTCCCAGCCTGACAGCCATGCTGAGAAGTAGCTTCAGGCAGCCAAGTGTCTGTTGAAATACAAATGCTCTTCAAGCCAGGTGTCTGTAAAAATCTGTCAGCTAGTGAGACTTGCAGTTTGTATTAAAAATATAGTTTACAAACTAATGAAATGTCCATGGCTATCGTCCTAATTATTGTTGTTCACAGGGGATCTTAGGCCCCTCAGTGGGAATAAAACACAACTCTAAAAGACAAACCAGGGGAGTTGTACTCTCGGTCTATGTTTGAAAGGACCTGGTCCTGTATTAATATGGGGTCCAGGCATGTTTGTGCTTTTTTTCCACAGGAAAACAGAAGAGTGCCAGCCCTGATGACATCACAGGCACTGGTAACCCCAGAAGAGCTGGAGAGAGAACCTATGTTCCTGACTCCCTTAGGCCATCATGCTGCAGAAAGGAAGGAAGACCGTGGTGATGAATGGTGATCCCTAGTTTCTTGGGGGACCTACTGCACAAATTTCTAGACCTCAGTGTGTCCTGTGTACTCTGGAGCTGACTCAAGAATGCTGGCTGAATGTCGGCAGTTTATCCGCACTGTATCTTGGGATATAGAACTCATTTTTCCAATATGGTATCCAATCTGCCAATATGGACCTGAGATCTGAGACCTCAAAATTTCCTCTCCAGAGGAAAAAGTCTTGTTAAAGCAATGGAACACTTTGTGGAAGCAAAGAGTGACTGAAGTGAAATGAGGAGGAATGGCACAAAAGTTTTCACTGCTGCTCAAAGACTGGGACAGTTTGAATTTATCTTTGAAACTTAAAAGCAGAAATGCAATGGGAGTATAGGAGAATAAAACGACCCATAGCTCACCCATCACAGAAACCTCTTCTTGTCTTTTTATTAGAACAGATTTAAGAGAATTGTGATTCCACAAATTGTATTCGTATTGTTAATTTCCACACTAGAATTATGGTATTGATCTGTTACCGTTTGTAACTGCTTTAGTTCATTACAAAGATGTTACTGATTAGAAAAAGGTTAGAGCTTGTCTGAGAGAATTTTGACATTGCCAATGAGTCCTTAGATTTCATATGTCTAAAAGGAAAACTTTGGATTTTGATGCAGCTAAAAACTAAAACATCTTGGACCAATGTAAATAGGCAAACCCATCTCTGGTAATCCTCCACTCTCTTATTAGGAGATATTGTGGCCACAGGAGCAGGTACATTGCATAGCATTATCTGCTTGCATATGATTATCTAGTTGTTGGTGAACTCTCTTGACAGAAAGTTGGCTCAGAGAGGCGCAGCACCTAGAGATGCATTCTCCCTTATCCCATTATTTACAGAGGCTAGTAGTCAATTATGGTTGATACTACCCACATTTTAGACACAATGATGTATGCTCCTCAGGTTTCACGGCGAATAGATGATAAGTTATGGCAAGAATGCCAGCCAGGATCAGATTCACCACCAGTCTTCCTCTGTTCTATTGTTCATGTGCCAGAGGTGCACAGAAATTACAGGATGGCTTTACTGGTTTATATAATTTAGTTACCTCTGTAGGCACACATCTTCTGTGTACTACTACAAAAGCATTGTTTTTGAGTGGAGTCCAGGTCTAATATTTCTTTCTTTATACCTGTAATGAGCTTTCTATCTTGTAAAAATGCAATATTTAGTTCATTCATAGCTATATCTGTATACAAACAGAAGTAAAAATTGACAAATCTTTAATTAACATGAAGCCAAAGACAAACATATATCATTTTGCTCCTTTGACTGCTTAGAAATCGGGATAATACTTAAATCAATAGAATAAGGCCCTAAAAGACAAATCCCAACCACAAAATCAAAGATAGTTGGACGGTTATCAATAATGAAACTGATGTCGGTAAGATTGTTCTCTTCTGGTTATAAAGACAGTAGTTACTATGAGCACTCTGGCAAGCAAATAAACAATGTATTTAAATGTAAAAATAAATATGCATTAACTAATAGCAAAACCTTTTTTCTTGTCATGGAGTGGACTTACATCTTTCGCCCAGATTTTGTTCTTAAGTCTCAGAAAGAACCAAATGCACAGAGAGACCACCTGCACTCACCTGCCTGCACCTGAGGACCAGAGCACTCCCACCTTTCTCATTGACCACCTGCACTCACCTGCCTGCACCTGAGGACCAGAGCACTCCCACCTTTCTCATTGACCACCTGCACTCACCTGCCTGCACCTGAGGACCAGAGCACTCCCACCTTTCTCATTGACCACCTGCACTCACCTGCCTGCACCTGAGGACCAGAGCACTCCCACATTTCTCATTCGAGTCAGCTTGCCTACTGTGAGTAAGAACCCCAGTTACCACATCCAGGCCATAGTTGGCATTTTGCTTTTGTGTGTTTTGGAGCTGCTTTTCATTGTCAGCCCAAATTTTCTATTTAGATTATGCTCAGAAACAGAACCCTAGGTTTTTTGCTAGCCCCATAATGGCTCCCTCAACCAAAATATCTCTTTCCTTGTTCTCATCTCTGTCCTTCCTCTATCCCAACTACCCGTTCCCTCAAGTTCTCTTCCCACTCCCTTTGTCCCCTTCCTCTTTCCCTTCCACCCTCCTTTCTCCCCTCACCCCCATGCTCCCAATTTTGTAAGGCGATCTTGTCTATTTCCCCTTTCCAGGTGGATCTATGTATGTTTCTCTTAGGATTCACCTTGTTACTTAGCTTCTCTAGGATCATGAACTATAGGCTCAATATCCTTTGCTTTACAGCTAGTATCCACTTATGAGTGAGTACATACCATGTTCATCTTTCTGGATCTGGTTACCTTACTCAGGATGGATTTTTCTAGTTTCATCCATTTGCATGCAGACTTCAAAACCTGGCACTAGAGAAATTCCCAGGAATCCCCAAGGATGACCCCAGCTAAGACCCTATGCAAAAGATGAAAGGGTGCTTGAACTGGGATTGCAACTGACGGAAACAGAGGCAGAGAGCAGCAGCGGGGCACTGGGCTGAGCTCCCAAAATCCAGTTGAAGAGTGGGAGGAGTGAGAATATGAGCAAAGAGGTCAAGACCATGATGGAGACACCCACTGAAACAGTCTACCTGAGCTAATGGGAGCTCACCAACTCCAGCTGGAAACAGAAGGAACCAGCCTAGGTCCAAACTAGTCCCTCTGAATGTCGGTGATAGTTGTATGGCTGAGGCAGACTGCGGGGCCACTGGCAGTGGCACCAGGACTTATCCCTACTGTTTCTTCTGGCTTTTAGGGAACCTATTCTCTTTAGATGGATACCCTGCTCAGTCTAGTTATAGTAGGGTGGGCCTTGGAACTTCCCCAAAGCAATGTGCCTTACCCTCTCTGAGGAGTGGATGAGAGGGGAAGAAATAGGTAGAGGGAATGGAAGGAGGGGAGGGAGAAGGAACTGGGATTGGTATGTGAAAAAAATAAGGTAGGTCATTGTACATTTAAAAAAAAAAAGAAAGAAAGAGAACCCTAGACTATATCTCTCAGTGTGCAACCACAGACGCCTAGAGTTTTAGGCAAACATCATGTAACACAACTGTGCCCATGTTTTCATGGCTTTCTTACCGTCCTCCATGGACGCTTCACTGCTGTACCCGTCATACTCCGCAGACAACGGGCTGTATTTCTGCCTTGTTTCCCAGGCGTAGTTCTTTTGTCTAGAATCCACCAATGGCCACCTGGAAGTGTGTGTTCTGGATAAGGCCTCGTGATATTTACCCAATGCTTCATCTTCACTTTCAGAGGATGAACCAGGGTCATCTCTGTCCATGTAGGAATTATCTATTGGATAACAGTGAGAGGAAATTATAATTCTAATAAATTTATGGCAAATTTATTTAAGACATATATGCATATATACACACAAAACAAACACAAATGCAAATATGTATGTTTGTGTGAGTACACACAGGGTGAAACTAATTAGAACAATCCTTAAAATTACTGAAATTCTTGGTAATCTCTTTTTTTTTTTAAACATTTATTTATTTATTTATTATGTATACAATATTCTGTCTGCATGCCTGAAAGCCAGAAGAGGGCGCCAGACCTCCCTACAGATGGTTGTGAGCCACCATGTGGTTGCTGGGAATTGAACTCAGGACCCTTGGAAGAGCAGGCAATGCTCTCAACCACCGAGCCATCTCTCCAACCCCCCTCTTGGTAATCTCTTAAACTGAATTTAAAGTATATTGCAACATTCATGTGTATGTATGTTATGACACAAAATTTCAGTTTTAGAAAATATATTTTTCATGTAAGAATTCCAGATGTTAGACTTTTATGTGTTTATAAGAAATATCACATTGTATATTCTAATTATATAAATAATCTCAGTCACAGAGGTTTTAACATTTTTAGGTATGAAGGAAATTATAGTTGTCACGCTGCACAATTTTGTAAAAGGTCTGCTATATACAAATGAAATTATGAGTGCTGTCATTGCTTATAGACTAGAGTAAAACAATCAATGTCATACGACACATTTCTGGTTTTCATTTGGCCTATATTTTCAGAACTAGTCACGCTTCATGCTAAGAGGGAACAGAGAAATGGCAGACACTAGTATTACAACTGATACAAGTTTGTGCAGTATGCTGATAACAAAAGAAAACAAAACATATAACCAACAGCCTATCAATGGGCCATGGTTAGGCAAATGATAGCACAACCATTCAACATACATACTAGGATTGCGCAGCCCTTAACATGAGTCAGTAGGCTTATGGTTCACAAGGAAAGAATAGAAGGTGCAATTATATTTTTATTTAATAGATATTATACATACTTCAACCTGCAATCTATAAACATATATATATGTTTATATAAACATATATATATATATGGATATACACAAAACTTATAACACTACCAGTGAAAAGTTAAATTACTAGGAAAACTTTACTTAATCATACCTAAATTTTAAGAGTTATAATGTTTATATTCCCTAAGAAACAGCAGAACAGTTAAAAGTTCATTTCTCATGATGTCTGAATAGAATCACTAAGCTTTTCCAATCCACCAGCCACACTTACAGTGTATAGAGCATTATATAGCTGGTGGTTAATCTAGAACAATGAAGACATTCCAACTTCACCATCATCAAGAATCTGACTAAACAGTGCTACAATAACCAGACCAAGCACTTGTGACACCCAGCTCAGAGTGTGAATGTCTTGTGAAATACCAGAGTAAGACCTAAAGGCAGAGGAACGCTGTGAGACCCTCATGGATGTACCCTGATGTAGCCCCTTTGCAGTCAAACTTCCTCCATCCCAGAATGCCCTACAAGCAACATCAGAGAAATCTTCTTCTCATGCCTGAGTCTCCCTGTGAGAGCCTGCAACACTGTTCCAGGAACACAGCAATGCAGCTACATGAAGGCTAACCTACAGGCCAAAACACCTGCAATCTGTCCACAGGACTATTTGTTCAGGACTCATCTTTGGGATATTTGAGAGCCTTTGGTTTCTTGAGATGCCAGAGTGGTCCTCAATTAAAAACAAAGCAAAACAAACAAAAAGATTTGCAGTGCTACTGTAATTGTATTTATTCATGGGAGCCATCCTATTGTCACTTTCTAAACAAGTCATTACTTTTATTTCTTCATAAGTAATGATGCTGCCAGAACGAAACAAGACACCAACGCCCAGTGAATCACAGCTGTTAGGAAAATGGACTCTACAGAGAACACAACTTCACAAACATTTCTTGGTAACTAGTCCAGCAGTCTAGGGTCAGTTTCTCTACAATGAACACATCTTCACAAACATTTCTTGGTAACTAGTCCAGCAGTCTAGGGTCAGTTTCTCTACAATGAACACATCTTCACAAACATTACTTGGTAACTAGTCTAGCAGTCTAGGGTCAGTTTTTCCTATGCCATTAAAAACCTATTATTGTTTGATATACAACAGACCCCTCCTACAAATGAGGCACATAGCAGAATTGAAAAGTCTTCCATTAGTTTCATGATGTTTCAGGCGTTGATATCTTATGAGAATCTAAATTTATAGAAAAACTACAGGAACATATTCTATAAACAAAAGTCAGTATTTGGGGCCTTCGGATCAGATCAGAAGTACAGAGGTGACGAAGGAGTACTAGAAGCAATTATCAGAAGGTGTGCACTGCAAAGATGTTCTGAAAACTGCCACAAATATTATAGCTGAACATTGTAAATACTCATTCAGAATCTTAATTCTATATAAAGGACTCATGAATAGTAATGTATTGCTCATGTACAGTCATTATGAACTAGAGCCATCTCATGAAAGATATACGGCAAAGCTAAATGAAAAAGACATATCCAGAAGCATGCTATTTAACAATATAGGAGCTATTGGTTTCAAGAAACATATAAAATATTTTACATATATCCTCACTGGGGTAGCTTTGAAAATGTTATATAACTAACTAAAGACTTAGTTATAAAAGTAAAACAAAATTTTTTTTTTAAATTTATTTATTATGTATACATATTCTGTCTGCGTGTATGCCTGCAGGCCAGAAGAGGGCACCAGACCTCATTACAGATGGTTGTGAGCCACCATGTGGTTGCTGGGAATTGAACTCAGGACCTTTGGAAGAGCAGGCAATGCTCTTAACCACTGAGCCATCTCTCCAGCCCCAAAAATTTAAATATATGAGTTTCATACCAAATAAGTTCTAATTAAAGTCTGCATAAATTTTCTAGTATTAAAATAAATTGTAGTTAAAATTAGGAAATGGGTGGGGTGGTTCACAGCTGTAATCTCAGTAAATGGAGGCTCAGGAAGGAGCACCTCAGGTTCAAGGCTACCCTGGGTTATAAAGTGAGTTTCAGGCCAACTGGAGCTGCACAGTGAAACTCTGCTAACAAGAATACAAAGAAGAAAAAGAAATATCAGGACTGCTGGAAATTGCTTAGATAGTGTAGGGATCATATACCTGGTGGTATAAAATAACATGAATTACCTGAAAATGACTGAAAAAAATCTAAATGTCTCTAAAAATATCTGCAAGTAAGAAGATCAAAGAAAAAATTAAATTAGATATACAGACATGGAAAGGAAAGCTGAGAAATTTAAATGTTTTTCTAATTTAAAAAATCAAGAGAAAATTTAATCACTCAAACCAGCATTAGGAGACCTCACCTTTTTCTGGTAATATCTTAGAATATTTGCCAACTTTATTCTCTGTTGTTCCTCTCTTAGCAGAATTGGTTTCATTTTTCTTTGTTTTTATGTCTCCTTTCACTTTGTAGTACTTTGTTGGATTTATTTTTTCTTTGATTTTCGCAGGAAACTTGATTTTACAATTTGTTGATGGAGCTGGATGTATGTATTCCTTCACAATGGATTTCTGTGTCCTGTGTCTGCTGTTTCTCACGTTATCTTCTGGAGAACATTTGTTTCCTGAATATTCATTCCCTTCGAATCCATCATGTTTATCATGTTTTTTAGCTTTTTTTAAATGATCAGAACGCTTTGAATCCGTAAGATGTCTATTTTCAGCGAAGCTCCCCGACTGCCCGTGCTCTCTGCTCACGTCCGCATGCTGCAGTCTGGCTTTGGAGTTACCCGTAGCCTCTTGCCCACTGGTGTCCAGCTTCCCTGTCAATTCGAGATAACTTACCTCCTCAAAACCACGCCGACCACTCCTGGAGCTTCCTCCTCCGGCTGTCTCTCCTTTGTCAGGACGTTCCAGTTCATGACAACTGGGTGCAGCCACCATTTTCTGCTTGGCAGCTGATATCCCATCATTCAAGAAGCCGTGCAGAGCAGAACCAGCTGCACCATCTCCAGTTGCTTTGTGTTCTGCAGGTGTCCACTGCCCATCACGAACATAAAATCCCTGTTCATGCATCTCTTGTTCTTGCTTTTGAGGAGCTGAAATGTCACAACAGGAGCTTTGCTTTGCTTCGTGCTCTCTGTCAGACTGTGTCTTCTGACCAGCACTGCTTTTGGAGCTACCCCACGATACTGCACTTCTGGCTTTAGAAGACCCTGCAGCCTCTTCTGCTGTGCAGCTTTCCTCCTCTGGGTAAAAGCCATGCATCATACTTGCTACCTGCCCAGCGACTGAGTCACTTAATGCACAGCTGACTTCCCCAACCGCAGTGCTCAAATCTTCCACAGCACTACTGATTGTGTCTACCAGGGAGGACACTGAAGGCAGATTCTGCTGAAAACTTTTGAAAAATGCCATTTTTCAGTTGCTTGTTCCTAAAAGGTGTGATAATGGAACTTTTTCTTCTCAATATATCAACTACTTTGGAATGTAAACTTAATATTTACACGAATGTTGCTATCATTAGAGTGATATAAGTTATTTTGCACTGTGTCTTTGAATCTGTTTGTAAATGCAATGTGTACTGGAAGAAATACGTTGAAGTAAAGACTCCTCCGGAAAAAATAAAAATCAAATCACTTGGTTTAAGTGTAATGACATCTTTTCCCACTCCAAAGCTATCAAAACAGCAGCAAGACATTATTTTTTCCCTCAAATACTATTGGGTATTTAGTCTATACCTGAAAGAAGAAGTATAAAAAGGATTTTTATTATGTGCCTTCTTTAGGAAGAGTCAGTGTAATATGGGAATAACCCCATTAACAGACTATCAATATTTCATCACTTTTTAAAGATTTATTTACTTATTATGCATACAGTATTCTGCCTGCATGTATGTCTGCACACCAGAAGAGGGCACCAGATCTCATTACAGATGGTTGTGAGCCACCATGTGGTTGCTGGGAATTGAACTCAGGACCTCTGGAAGAGCAATCAGTGCTCTTAACCGCTGAGCCACCTATCCAGCCCAGACTATCAATATTTCAAGTTAAGAACTATACTTAGAGGAAAATATCTAAACAGTTTTGCAAAGAACCGGAGAGAAGAGGTGAGAGCATCTGCTGAATGGGACTTCCAAGAATTGTAATGGACACATTTAGCCTTATTTGATGTACGGTACCTTTAAAAGGGAAAGCTCTTTTTACTTTAACAAGTAGAGAAAAACAATAGGATATCGATGAGACCTGAGCACACTACTTGTACAGTGACAGTAGGGGCTGTTTAACATTTTCACTCTCCCTTGCTTGCAAATGCAAACTGAGCCTTCCCAGAGGTGAGAGACAGACCTGATAGGGTGCGGCCACCAGAATCAAGTTGAGTCCTAATGGCCCTGTATGACATGTATACAGCAATTTCACTCTTCTCTACAAATCTTTCTTTTGGGTTAAAAAATTCTTTAAAAAAACTTTATAAAATGTTACTTATATTCACAAATAATAACCTTATTGCTAGTACTTTTTTTTATAGTCCATAGAGGCTGAAAATGTACCTCACCAACAGAGTACAAGCATAACATATGTAAAGGCCTGGGTTCAATCCCCAGCAAAAACCTTTTAACTCAAAACAAAAAGAAAAGTAAGCTGGTAAAAGATAATTTTCTCAGTTTACTATCTAATACAGTACATATTAATAGATGGAACTTACACCAATAAAAGTTCTTTGGAATTTGAAGACAAAAGAAAATCCAGGGAAGCTGAACCAGAGAATTACAGAAAGCTGAGAGGGGCTTGGTGGAGAGGGAGGGAGGAAGGAAGACATAGAGAAAGGCGGGAGGGAAAGTACAGTAGGAGGGAGAGACAGACGGGAAGATGAGAAACAGAGAGATGGAGACAGACAGACACACGCGCGCAGAGAGACAGAGACACACAAACATACAGACACACGCAGAGAGACACAGAGAGAGAGAGAGAGAGAGAGAGAGGAAGAAAGACAGAGACAGATTTTTAAGCAGTTCATTCACACAAATGAGTGGCTTACAGGGCTGGAGTGGAACATGAGAAACACAAAACCAACTCAGAACCATATGAGGCACACCGTTTCTAACACAGAAACCGAAGCGCAGTTCAGGTTGTCGGAGGAGAAAAGCCTTCTCCAGCATTTGTGCACTCCACTCTCATTCTTCAGACTCCAGTTACCACCCTAGTTTAGCATTCTCAACTTCCTCCACTATCATTTTCATCAGTCATATTTGAAACAACAAATAAAAAGCTCTTGTAATAGTATTTGTAAAAGTGTCTCTAAAATGAGAACATACAGTACTACAGTCCTCAAGCTCCCTGGAATCCAGCAACACTACAGCACAGTCCTCCTCTGAGCAACAGCATTTTTCCTCGGCTGAGAATGAAGACTGTTAGACAAAGCCTACTGGCGGGCGACACTGGGAAAGCTCTCCTGAAGGTCATGTGCACAGTGGGCCACGTTTTTATTCTTAAAGCATTAAGTACTCATAGGATAAACTCAAAATCAAGCCTTCTAGATGAAAAGTGAAAACATCATTTTGCAGTAACAGACAGCTACCTTTATACAGTAGCTTATCAATCTGAGGGAAGAGACCTAAACATACAATTACCTAACAGATATTTCATCCTTACAAAGTGGAGGTTCAAATGCTACGTTGCTCATGTACCAAGCCAACCCTCTCAGAGAACCTGCTAAAGCAGGGACAGCACAGATGTGCTGATGTCATTACTTACACGTTTTATCTTGTGAATTCTTCTGTGTGCTGTATCCTGGGTCAAGGTCTGGAAAACCTCCAACATTTTCAAAACAGAACTTCTTATTAATATAGAGAAAAAGGAGCAGCATCAAGATAATAAACACCCCAATCGCTGACAAAAATCCAACTGCCTCTGGAGAGACTAGAGAAAAGAAAGTCATAGCAGTCAGCATCTGTTTTCTCTAAGCTGCAAACAAGAAGGAAATTCCTACTATACACTAGATAGAGTGTTATCTAATTCCAATTACTTTTAAACTATCATAATTTAAAATACTTTGTAAGGAAACCCACAAATTTTAAAAATATTTTTTCAATATATTCAACAGCATTCATTCAAAAATTTTCAAAATGTTTCTAAATAAATATATTGAAAGAATTTTAAAAGAAAAATAGTCTAAAACAAAGTTAGTTAACAAATTTTAAATCCATGAAGAAAACATAGGTAGTTAATAATTTTTAAAACCATGAAGAGTGTTATAAAAATTTTAGCACTGAATTAAAAAATACTTTTCATCTATAAAAATAATTAACTCATGAGAGCATATACTATTATTATCTCTCAAGACTTTGCTAGACCTTTCTTTTCTTTATTTAAATTTATTTATTTATTAAGGATTTCTGCCTCGTCCCCACAACCGCTTCCCATTTCCCTCCCCCTCCCCCGATCAAGTCCCCCTCCCTTATCTGCTCGAAGAGCAATCAGGGTTCCCTGCCCTGTGGGAAGCCCAAGGACTGCCCACCTCTATCCAGGTCTCGTAAGGTGAGCATCCAAACTGCCTAGGCTCCCACAAAGCCAGTACGTGCAGTAGGATCAAAAACCCACTGCAATTGTTCTTGAATTCTCAGTATTCCTCATTGTCCGCTATGTTCAGCTAGTCCGGATTTATCCCATGCTTTTTCAGACCTAGGCCAGCTGGTCTTGGTGAGATCCCAATAGAACATCCCCATTGTCTTAGTGTGTGGGTGCACCCCTCGTGGTCCTGATGCTAGACCTTTCTTATTAAACACTGGATTCCCTAATCTGGCATTTATATTCCAGCCTCTCCTCCCAGCACACACTTCAGTCAAATGCTGCCTCATGATGCACATACAATTTTGGTTTGGCTTGTCCTCTCCCTTATGCCTGGAATGCTCATCCCATCTCTCAGAACATTCCACTGAACTATCTGCCATACACCTTAGCTTGCACATAGCTCCTGTTTTCTACGCATATGATGGAGGCAGCGAGAACCCAGCATCATATAGACTATGACTGGAAAAGGACAGGATCTCCACTTAGGAACACCAAGATCCAGCACTGGAGGGTCAAATGTGCTTTTCTGGAAGCTATGGCTTCCAAGACCACATCTTATGAACTAACAGGACTTAGACCAGTTAAGCAGCATGAGACTTTTGTTATGATGAGCTGTCAGACTAAACAGAATTTAGTAGTATCAAGAGAATTTATGACAGCACCCAGGAGACTTGAACTCCTACTTCAGCAACCTCACTGTCCTTTTATATCCCCATTGCCCGACACAGTACCACTCATCTGGAGTTAGACAAAAATCATGTTTTTGCAAGTCTAGTATCACATAAGTATGAGAAGATGGATCTAAAATCTCAAATACCCCCTGTGAAGCATGACCTACTTGCCCTCCGCTGCTTACGTAGGATCTACCATGCGATCTCCCCCAAAATCTTTAAGCAGAGCTTGTTTGTTTAAAATGAGGTCACTAACAGATGAGTGACTGGTGCTTTATCTGTCAGCTTTTCATTATTCATGCAAGTCACGCATACCGTAAGTGGAACATTACAGTCTTCTCACAGCTGGGTCAGCAGTGTTGCAGACGGGACACTGGACAGGAGAGGTAGGGGAAGTGGAGGGTCTGGCAGCAGCAAGTCCATACAGTGTCTACCCTGTGACTCACTCAGACTTCACAAAGATCCAGTGACCGTCCCCACCATAAACTCATCTGTGTATGTACCACATGCCCCGCCAGAACCCAAGGCTGCTAGAAGCTGTGCTTTCTACTGTGCTCACGCTGTCTCTTCCGTCTCTCAACTCCTCCTCAATCTTTTCTATCCCTTGCCCCCACATTACTCCTATATTACTCTTTATCTTCCTCCTTCCACTCTGTGAAATTCAACCTCGTGGGAAATTCAAGTCTAAACAAGAAAGCATAACGAAAAGCAGTGAGCTCTGTTGTAGAGACAGGAATATAAGCTGCCGGGGTGGCCAGAAGAGCCCTTGAGTATAGGTGAAAAGACTAATAACTCTTTAAGTGGAAAATGGCAGATGTTCTAGCATGGCCACAGATATAACATTCCATAGCCTCTGAAGAGTAACAGTCATGGCTGCTGCACTTACCTCTCTGTCCTCACGTGCCTACCAGCACCAGGCAGCTGACAGCGCATGTGTGTGTGAACAGAGGAATGAGTGAATGGATGGTAAGCAAGTGAGAGAACATGTGCTTTGGGAAGATCCAAAAATATGAGAATAAAAAGTAAAGAAGAAAGCAAGCTGCAAACTGTCAAACAGTCTTGGATATCACCCTGCAGATTTTGAACTTGGAGAACAACAGGGTTATAACATGAATGTCTTGAAAAATTACACTGTTAAAATTAAGAAAAATAGAATAAGGTAGGGAAGGAATAGTTGCAAGATTATGATGAGCCCTTAATTAAGAAGTAACACCAGCAGCAGAAAAAAGGGATGAACTGTACTTTTTTTTCAAAGAAAATAAGTAATGACCCAATCAACAGAACATAGAAGATGATGAAGAGCTGAGGATAACTCTAATTACAAACAGAACAGTCAGGTAAAGCAGTGTCATTAACCAAAATGAAAACCATGAGAGGGAAGGCATTTGATTTAGCAGCATGGGGGAAAGAGGCGTGTAGACGAAGCTCTTTTAGGGGATGCTGGATATGGTGTTGACGTGGTATATTACAAACATCAGCCGAGCACTGCAGAGCAGAATGTGAGCAGGCTATCCATGTGAATGTAAGGTTGGTTATAAAAGACCTGGGGCCCCCATTTCTTCTGTTTATGCCATAAGAAAGCATTCAGTCACAAAGTAAAACTAAGCAAACTTAGGTGTGAGGTCTTCTTACTGGTTAATCTATTCATTACAAATTTATTGATAAATACATGCTACATTTTTTGAGAATTAAAAAAACAATACTTTTTTCCAATAGGAAAAGGAAAAATAGGCCTGCTACAAATATGTTACTCATACAACCCTAATTTTATCCATTACTTGATTAAATGCACATTTTCCCACACAGAAAATACATAGTCATAATTTAAAATAGTAATGTGGCTGTAAAAAAATAAGTAACATTTCTTAATATAGCAAATATTATAAATCTTCAGATTTCTATTTTGTCATTATATCAGGCCAAAATATTTATTATTTTAAATAAACAATAATAGTTCTGAGTATATCAATATTTACTAAATCTCACTTAAGCATAGAACTGCAACAGGAGATGCACTGAAATCAGACTTCAGGCATGAACATTGTACATAGTCAATAAAGAATAAATTATACTTAGATCTATAAGACTAGAATTTCTCCCTAAAAATCTTATACTATGAATCTGCTTGTAGACATTCTGCATATTTCTAAGAATAGGGTTAATTAATATATGCATAGATATATCCTTTTCAAGGCTTCTAGATCATCAAAGGCAAGTAAACCTATTAAAAATGCCCATTGGGAGCCAGGCAGTGGTGGTGCACGCCTTTAATCCCAGCACTTGGGAGGCAGAGGCAGGCAGATATCTGTGAGTTTGAGACCAGCCTGGTCAGTTCCAGGACAGGCCCTAAAGCTACAGAGAAACCCTAAACCCTGTCTTGAAACACACACACACCCAAATTAAACTAAATTTAAAAAGCCTGTTAGGAGTTGGAGAGATGACTTAACAGGTAAGATCACAGGCTGCTCTTCCAGAGGACCCAGGTTCAGTTCCCAGCACCCACATAGTGGCTCACAACTGTTTGCAACTCCAGTTCATGAAGATCCAATTCCTTTTTTCTGGCCTCCATGAACATTGCACGGACAAAATGGATAAAATCATGCATATGGTACACAGACATATCTATGGGTGAAACACCTATAAACATAAAATAAATAAATAAAAATATTTTAAATTCCTGTGGCAGGACTCATGAAAGAGTTCAGTCAATAAGCCTGCTAGGCAAGCATGAACACCTGAGTTCAATCCCCAACACCCACATAAAGGGCTGGACATGTGATGTGGAAGGTCCTTCTGTATATGTGTTGCTTTTATTAGTTGATAAAGAAAGCTGTTTTGGCCAATGGCTGAGCAGAGTAAAATAGCCAAGCAGGAAATCACACACACACACACACACACACACACACACACACACACAGAGAGAGAGAGAGAGAGAGAGAGAGAGAGAGAGAGAGAGAGAGAGGGATTGTAGGTGGAGTTAAGAAAATGCTGGGCAACCGGGAAACTAAAGCACAGCCAATGTTTACAGACATATTGTATCCCCAGTGTCGGTAAGGTAGAGACAGGAAGATCCCTAGCACCTGCTAGCTGCTCCACCTAGCCAAACCATGGAGCTCCAGGTTAGTGGGAGAACCTGCTCAAAGAACAAGGTGAACAGCTCCTGAACAGCTCCTGGAGAATGATTGACAGAGGCTGACCTCTGGCTATCCACATGTGCATGCACACACACAAACACGCACATACATACACGATGTTTTTTTTTTTAATTCCTGTTTTTTTCTAAGGAAAACCTTCAAAATCTCTATTTAAAGTACATAGTCAACAACTCATGCATATTGGTATTATATAGCTGAAGAAATAAATTTACTGACTATAGTCAATGATTAAAAACTCACAAGTACGCACCGACAGGCTCCAAAACCACAGAGAAACCCTGTCTCGAAAAACCAAAAAAAAAAAAAAAAACCAAAAACTCACAAGTACACTGTTTTCCCATAATTCAAACTTTCAGTATTTTAATGTGTCAAACAATAAGCTCAAGATGCATGATAACAATGTTAGCAATATTTGACATGTTTAGTAGAGACTGTTTCACTAGGATTGTCGCCTTTAATGCTCAATAAACACATTTGATTGGTATCACTACTGAGACCCCCAAACAATCTTATGTTTTGGGGG